AATGATGGTTACAGTTCACTGGTTCGCTTGCGCAGACTTTTTCTCACAGTTGCAAAATGTCAGTTTTAGTTATTCTACGACAGTTTGTGCTCCGATGAAACGAACCACATATCAGCTCTTTTCTGACGACACCTGATGATTAGCAGTTACCTTGCACCATTATAAAGGACTGGCTGGCTATGGTAATGAAGCATGGATGGTCGACAGTTTTTTGTACCGTATTGAAACATGAAAATTATATGTGGTTCGCCTACATATCAGTAGGGACTTGTTGTAACAGTTTTGAGATTCACTGATTATTTTTTTTTTTTTAATTTTATTGGCTTCCGCTTTACAGCATTTTTAGCCACATACATTATTCATTTTATTCTTTATCATATTCTTTACTATTCTTACATATATATTTCTTATACATTCATCATATATATTGTTGTGCACCCTAGTGCTAACAACAAATATGTTGAGATCCCAACACTGGTACCAAATGTTGTGGATTCGCCGTTGCCAACAATTATGTTGCGTCACACCAACGATGTCAACATTTATAATTAGGTTCTTCTGCTGCTAACATTAAGCCTTTATCACTGTGAAAATATTTAATTAAACATTTGAAGACGTTTATTAACTTTATTTACTTCATTATACGGTTACACTTGATTACAACTTAATACACAATTAATATATTGAAGTGAAGACTGATGTGAAGTGATTGGAAACTAGATTAGGAATGAACGCTGATTTCATCATCTCAGAGTTTTTATAATCTCTGATGATGACGTAACCATCCTTCTAGAATGTTCGTTAGGAATGATTCATTCTTGTTTATTTTAGACGCAATTTGTGGTTTTGTCGTCGAAGAAACCGTCAACAGGCTTGCACGTGCGTGTTTTATCTTTGCATACAATGTTGCAAGGCTATGAGCTGTGAGTCAACAACGTATATACTGCGTCTCTCATATTGACTGTTATATAGAATTTATAATATTATTTATAATTATTACAAAGGGGTGGATACCACTACAATATACTATCTTTTCTTATGTCCTAATCTTCCATTCAATTTTCATTCTTTTTCTTGTTTCTCAATATGTTCTTCTCATCTTCTAAACTTCTTTTTTTTCTTATTTTGCTTCTATTTTTTCTTGTATTATACAAATTAACAATTATTTGGAAGCGCCAGAAGTCGAACCAACGAACTCCGGCATGTGAGTCGGACATGCTACCTCTGAGCTACGTCCTACACATTCACTGATTATTATATTTCTACGAAATAAAGATGAATATATTATGTAACTATTCTTTTATCTAGTCGGGTAAAAATATTTTCTTAACTAATGTTCATTATTAACTTCCCGTAGGGTAAGTTATTGTAATCGTCCAAAAATCCAGAGATACAGGGCTAAATGTTAAAAAATGGCAGTTTTTGAGAGAACTAAGCGTCCGATTTAAATGATTCAAAGAACGTTCTGCTTGTTTTAATAATATAATTGATTTTGGAAAAAATCTTTGTTTCAAAATAATTTCTTTTCAAAAAAAATTTAATTAAAAAAAAAAAATTATATCGAAAATAAATCAGATTTTATTTTTAATCATGACTAAAGTTCTAATATACTTTAAACAAATAATTTCAACTTTGAAATTTAGTTTATATAATTCTTATAAATATTAGACAATGTTACAATATTTTTAATAATTTATTTGAAAACATTCAGTATTCCTCGAACATTTCGTTACGGTACGGGAAGTTCCAGCAATTTGCCTTAAGGTACGGTGCCATACACCCCACTAGTTTCACAATTAATTATTTTCTAAAAAAAGTGTCTCACGTCGTGTTTGTGGATTGTAACATATGCCGCGGCAAATAGCAAAAACAAAAAACGATAATAATACTTCTTTTTTTATCTCTAACAAAAATGACATCTTTCAAATGTAAAAATCACACATTTTCTGGAACTAATTTTTGTTACAAATACCGAATCTAATCTTTGTTACTACCGAATCTAATATAATTGTGTAAGATACATCACCAGACAAAAAATACTACTCTTCTAATTCAGTTTTTGAATTTGAATACCTATTTTTTTCAGTTCTGTTCACTTCGGTTTCATTTTTTCTTAATTTACCTTTGGTTTTCCCCATCGCTTTTTTAACCTTTCTGTACATAATCCATTCCTTTATCTTAAAAAACTTTTTTTTCTTAATATTCTGTATTCTTCGTCATTAATATTGTTAGTCCTATAAAAAAAATTGTTTTTAACGGAGAAAACATGATGATGGAACGTATCTAGTTCCGAAACGTCATAATTAAACATCTACAAAAACTAATTGTTTTTTAACTTCCCGAATATCTATTGGATTTATTGTTTCGGAAAAGAAACATATATCAAATGTACATATATGTATATGCTGTATTTTAATAGTTGCAAATGTGCATAATTGTTTATCCGGAGTAGAGATCTTGCATATATATCTACATATATATATATATATATATATAAATATATATATATATATATATATAATAGATATCGATAATTATTTTTATCGAATCATTTCGATATCCGATCAGATCTTGCGCAACATTTCGTTTGAAACACTAATCTAAATATCATTGTATTTATTTATGGACATTAATTCATAACATAATATATGATGAGCGCTGTGTTCTAGATAATATAAATTGTAATTAAAACGGCATATAAAAGGCTAGCTACCGATTCATACTGATTTAGCGAGGGCGGGCGGCGAGAATATTTTTAACTTTCCGTAGGGTAATTATAGTAATGGGCCGAAAATCGAAAATGAAAATTTTTGCATATCTTTACGTTTTGAAAGATTCTGAACATTTTGGCATACCTCAGAAACAATTGATGTGTGTGTGCGGGTTTTGTATGTCCGCATTTTTTGTCAATGTTTTCGGGCGCACGGTTCAACCGATTTGAATCGTTTAAAAAACATTCGATTTCTATTGTTCGGGAGATGTGCTGATTAGTTTTTGGCAAAAGCAGGTCAAGCCGTTACGGAGATACGGTGCAAAGAGAGAAGAACATACAAATTGAGTTTTTGAGATAATGGAGTATCCGATTTGAATGATCTAAAAATCATTCAATTTGTAATAATTGGGAGAAGAGGTGATTAGTTTTTGGCAAAGACAGGTCCAGCCATTTCGAAGATACAGAGCTAAATGTGCAAAAAATGGCAGTTTTTGAGAGAACTAAGCATCCGATTTAAATGATTCAAAAAACTTTTAGCTTCTTTCAACAAAATAATGACTTTTGGAAAAAAAATGTTTGTTTCAAATTTTTTTTCCAATTTTGTATATCGAAAATATTTATATATTATAAGGGATATATATATATATATATATATATATATATAATATATATAAGCAACATATTTTTTAATCTTTGATGAATTTTTAAAACGAAACGATTGTCGCAGAGACGTAATATTTTAGTATGTTCTTAAGGACTATGATATCAGTCAAGAAAATGGTTTTATCAAAAATTTTTTTTTTAAATTAATTACTAAAAAACGGCTCGGCCGATCTGAGAAACGCAAGTATTTATAGAGTTACATCGAATGACTTTTAAAGTTTTAAAATCGGTTTAGCCGTTTTTGAAAAGTCGTAGACAAAAGGCCGTCTTCATTTGCTCGAATATATAATAATATTATATTTAAATAATTATATATAAATAATAATATTATATTTAATTAAATAAAATTATATTTAGCTATTTGCGTGGTAAGTATTAACTTAAAATAAGTACCTATTAAATTAAAGTAAAAAAATTGCTTCAAATCTTCAACAAATGCGGTGCCTAGTCGCTGCGAATCCACTGTACTGCATCAACTCTGGTAATTTAATAAAATCGTATAATAATTGTTTTACATTTAAAATCTCTTGCGAACGCAGAATTTTGCTACACAACTTCATTTGGGCTCTAGAGCGGCTTTTACGGTTTATTGCGGTATTTGTGTGGTCCAAATTACAAATCAT